ATATTCAAGCTATAGTTAAATAATGGCTATGGGCTGAAAGTGCACACGCTCAGGTTTAATTTGAGGGTATGTATATCCAAATGGAAGAAAGGTCTAGGAATTACAGCTCTTAAGAGTAGCCACCCCCCCCCCCTTTTCAAGGGACCAAAAGTAATTGGACAATTTAATCAAAAAATGTTTCATGGCCAGATGTGGGCTGCACCTTCATTATTTCTTCATCAATTAAGCAGGTAAAAGGTCTGGAGTTGATTCTAAGTGTGGTATTTGCATTTGGAATCTATTGCTGTGAACCTACATCATGTGTTCAAAGAAGCTGTCCATGCAAGTGAAACAGGCCATTGTAAGGCTTCAAAAACTAAAGAAATCCATCAGAGAGCTAGCAGCAACATTAAGAGTGGCCAAATCAACAGTTTGGTACATTGAGGAAAGAAGAACGCACTGGTGAGCTCTGCAACATAAAAATGCATGGACGTCAATGGAAGACAACAGTGGTGAATGATCGCCGGAACCTCTCTATGGTAAAAAAAAAAAAAAAAAACCCCATTCACAACATCCAGACAAGTGAAGGACACTCTCCAGGAGGTGGGCGTATCATTGTCAGTCTACAATCAAGAGACTTCACGAGAGCAAATACAGAGGGTTCACCACAAGGTGCAAACCATTCATGAAGACTAGAAAAGCCAGATTAGACTTTGTCAAAAAATATCTAAAAATGCCAGACCAGTTCTGGAAAAGCATTCTTTGGATGGATGAAACTAAGAGGAATCTGTACCAGAATGACAGGAAAAAAAAAAGTGTGAGAAGGCTTGGAACAGCTCATGATCCAAAGCACACAACGTCATCTGTAACACATGGAGGCAGTGTGATGGCATGGGCATGCATGGCTTCCAGTGGCACTGGGTCATTGGTGTTTATTGATGAAGTGACAGAAGTCAGAAGCAGCCGGATTAATTCAGCAGTGTTTAGGGATATACCGTCAGCCCAGATTCTGCCAAATGCAGAAAAGTTGATTGGACGGCACTTCACAGTACAGATGGACAATGATCCAAAACACACTGCAAAAAGCAACCCAGGAGCTTTTGAAGCAAAAGAAGTGGAATATTCTGCAATGGCCGAGTCAATTACCTGATCTCAACTCAATTGAGCATGAATTTCACTTGCTGAAGGCAAAACTAAAAAGGCAGAAAGACCCACAAAGAACTACTGAAGGCAGCTGCAGGTAGAGCCTGGCAAAGCACCAGAAAGGAGGAAACCCAGTCTTTACTGTCAATAACTGCTTGAAGTCTGGAACCCATGCACATTAAAGAATTATCAACAAAATATTAGAGCTGTAATTCCTAAACCCTTCCTCCAAGAAGGGTTGAAGAAATTCGCCATACAAGTTCACTGCAGTTCGCTAAAGTAGAAAGTCAAACTGGGGTGATTGTTTCCCGTGACATAATACGGAGTACACTGCAGAGGAATGGCATGCATGGGTGTCGTCCACGAAGGAAACCTCTCCTAAAGCCCATGCACAAAAAAGCCTGCCAGGGCCCATGCTGAAAAAGATGACGACTACTGGGACTCTGTACTCTGGAGTGATGAGACCAAGATAAGGGTTCAAAACTGTATGGCATCACAAAAAGTGGAGTACAAAGAAAAATGCATGGTGCCTACAGTGAAACACGGTGTTGGCAGTGTCCTTCTGTGGGGCTGCATAAGTGCTGCTGGTGTCGGGGAGCTGCATTTCATTGATGGTATCATGAATTCACAGATTTAATGCTCTATATTGAGAGAGAAGATGCTACCGTCACTCTGTGTCCTTGGTCGTCATGCACTTTTCCAACATGACAATGATCCAAAACACAAAGCAAAGGCCATTGTTGCGTTTCTGAAGAACAGGGTGAAAGTGATTCAGTGGACATCTGTCTCCTGATCTGAACCAATCGAACATCTATGGGGAATTCTTAAGAGACAAGTTGAGCACCACCTCCATCCAGCATCCAGGCTCTAAAAGAGGTTGTTCTTGAAGAATAGAAAAAGATCAATGTTGCAATGTCGCCAACTTGATCATTCAATTCCTAGAAGACTTGGTGCTGTTCTTACAAATCATGGAGGTCATACAAAACACTAGATGTAGTAGTTTTTAGTGTGTACTTTCATGTAATGGGCTAAACAAATGTTTTATAAAAAACTCAGTTTTGTCAAAATGTTCAAATTCGATCTGGTGTTTATTGGTTAAAATCTTATTTTTCAAAAGGGTTGTACTCAAGTATGCTGAAGTGTGTGTGTGTACGTACATACATACACACCATAGTTTATAGACACTATAAACTTTCACACAAAACAATCATACACTTATTGGGATTTTTTTTTTTTTTTTTAACCAAAAAGACAGCAGAATACATTCTTGCCCTAGACGTATGAAGTAATTGTAATTTTTTTTTTTTTTTTAATTGGATAGGTTTTATTGCAGAAAGTACATTAGGTTTGTCTTCAAAATGTTTGTGGTTTGTTTATATAATAAAAAATTAAAAATCCAGTGGTGACCAAACACCACCAAGAGAAAGCACTTTTTGTGTGAAAAAAAAAATGAAATACATTTTGATTGGTTACAGCGTTGCATGAACGTGCAATTACCAGTTAAAGTAGCACAGCGCTAAAAAGCAAAAAAAATGGTCTGGTCATGAAGGCGGTAAAACCATCTGGAGTCGAAGTGGTTAAAAAAAAAAAAAAATCCAATCTGCAAGACAGCAATTGGTTAAAAGTTATCATTTAGTTCTGTACCAGACATGACGCCTTACATGGCTTTGTATTTTGTTTCTTATGTGGCGTGGGGGGTTATTACAAAAGGTACTGTATTAACAGTATTACAGAAGTCACATTCAAAGGAGGCTTTAACCACACAAAGTTTGGACACTTTTACCTCCTTCACGTCCAGGTCAAATTTTCAGCTTTCAGTGCTATCACACTTTGAATGACAATTGCACGGTCATGCAACACTGTACCCATTTGAATTTTTTAGACAGATAAAACTTTATTTTGGTTGTATTTATTAATCACTGGGATTTTTTTTTTTTTTTTTGCTATATAAATGAAAAAGTCGAATTTGTTTTTTTTAAAAAAAGGGTTTTATAAAATTTTGCACATAAATAATCTTTCTTCATAAATCTTGCCCAAAATGTATTCAGTCATCTTTTTTAGTAAAAAAAAAAAAAAAAAAAAAAAAAAAAAAAAACTAACCCAAATTAATTTATAACCAAAATGTATAATTTTTTAAATTTGTATCATTTATTTGTTTTTGTTTAACATATTGTCACCCTAGCAGTACAGTGTCACCATAGTGACACTGTACTACTTGTGGGGGGTGATGAAAATGTATTTATTTTTTTTTTACACTGATTGTTTTTACACCCATAAAGGCTGTAAAAGCAATCATTCCTCCTCATTGAGAAATACTGTGTGAGCTGTGATTGGTCACAGCTTGTCACATACAAGGCTGTTGTGAATAGCCTTGTACCATGTGACCTCTGTGATCATTCACAGATTTCAGACGTAATAAGCAAGGATGTCAGAAGTGACATCTTGCTTACTACTATTCATGTGATCATTGATTGGCCAATCAGTGATCAGAATAATCAGGACCTCACACAGAGGTCCCGTACAACGATCAATGTTCCGCTGTTTCCTCCGGACACAGCAGGGAAGCGGAGAGGACATTTATAAAACGGCCTCCCCCCCCCCTGCACTGCTCCTGTCCGGCCATTTATATACATGGGCCGGACGGGAAGTGGTAAATACCAACATAACCGCCAACACAATCACAGATACTTGACGGCTTATGTCAGGTTAACCCTATACACTGAAAAATCATATAAAACAAAAATGGCTGACTTAAAGCTCCACTCTGGGTAAAATCTATATGCAGTACTTTGTTATGCAGATACTGTACATCCCATAAAATCTTGTTTTCTCCATTTACCTTTTAGCAGAAGCATTCTTGTCTGAACTCATATACGAGTCTTACTTCACGTCCAATGATTTGTATTTGCGATTTTCTGTGTGAGGACTGAAAAGTGTGGCTGCTCTACGCGCAGCATGGTGATCAGTTTACACAGTAGCAGTGAGGGGACTAATCAGCATTTGCGCCGAGAATGAACAGTGGGTGATGCTATTATAAGCAAGCTGGAACCCCCTTGCTCATCGCCACCCACCCCCAAGAATCCTGTAATCCTCTGTAGGCTTATATCTGTCCACACCCAAGTCAACTACCATTCCAAAGCATGATGGGATACATAATGTATTCAATGCGGCACTTTCCAGCTATACCAAGTAAAGTCAAGCGGATGATAGAGAGATATATATATATATATATATATATATATATATATATATAGATATATATATATATATATATATATATATATATTTGTATTTTGTGTCCCAGCTTTAAAACATACACAGCTTTCTAGAGAATCGCTGGTTCCACCTCCTTCAGCAGGTCCCTGTTGATAGTTGGGATGTGTGTATGCTGTATATGGGTTTAATCGGTTAGGATCTGCAAATCACATTTTCTTACAGTACTGACCAAATTCATTTAAATCCCACTACGCGCAGCAATCTAAAGCACAATTTGCTAAAATATGGAGATGCCACTTATAAGTATAGAGCAGGTGGCTCCGACCTTTCTAAACAAAGGACCAGTTTATTTTTCTTCAGAATTTGGAGGTGCCAAACTGTGACCATTAGGAGTAGAAAATGTCATGGCATCTGTATCATCGTTGGTGTCAGGGGGATGAATAGTGCCCCATGGTCAGTGTCAGGGGGGAGGGGAATAGTGCCCCATCGTTTGTGTCAGTGGAATGACTATAGTCTCATTGTTGTCAGACCCTAGGCTACAGTTTGGAGACCACTGGTGCAGAGCAAGATGAAAATATGTTTATCTGCTACATGACCCTGGTAAAGACAATTTAAAAAAAAAACAAACAAAAAAAACAAAAAAAAAAAAAAACACATCTCACCTATAGCCATAAATATTTCATTCACATTCATAGCGGTTTTAGCAGATGTCTCCATGAATAGCAAGCTGTTGTCATCTGCATAGGCTTGAGCTTCCTGCAACAAAGCAAAAGAACATGAAAGCATTCTGGGGGCTCTCTCTGTATTTGAAGGGGAACAAAGCAGCAAAGCTAGCAAGCTCACCTGAAAATCTACAGCTCTTTTGCTGGAGAGGTCAGCCTTATTCCCAGACAAGGCAATTACAATGTTGGGACTTGCCTGCCTCTGAAGCTCTTTCACCCAGTTTTTTGCTCTTGCAAAGGTTTCCTACAGTGTTACAGAAAAAAAAAAAGAAAATCACATTTCATAAGTTTGATGGAAAAAAAAAAAAAAAGCCAAAGCTAAAAACACCCAAGTAATTGAGTTTAATATATACATATAAAAACAACAACACACATACTTCTGAAAACATTGATGATGGTTCAACTAGAAATCCATCAGAACAACATGCATCACAGTTTGTTGTGTATGGGGCTGCGTAGCCTCACACAGGTCAGGGTACTCCTGCTAACCCGTGTCCACAGCCAAAAGCACCTACAAAAGGGCATGTGAGTAACAGAACTGGACAAAGAGCAATGGAAAAAAGGTGATCTGATGAATCCCACTCTCTCTTACATCATGTTAATGGCTGGATGCATTTGTCTCTCTTATCTGGGGAAGCAATGTCACCAGGATGCAATATGGGAAGAAGGCAAACCAGCTGAGGCAGAGTGATGCTTTGGGCAATGTTCTGCTGGGAAACCTTGGTCCTACCATTCATGTGGATGTTGTTTTGGAGTCCATGCCTTGAATGGTCAGGGCTATTTTGGTGGCTAAAAGGGGGGACCTACTCAATATTAGGTGTGTGAGCAAAATTTTATGTGATCAGATCAATAAATTATGTATACATATACAGTATACACATTTTTCACATAAGAAATACATGGTAACTCAGCCTTTCATGCCTGACTTCATCACTGACAAACATTGACTGCCTCCTGAGAACTCTAGTTGTCTGGTCTCTTCCTTCAATACACAGAGTTACCAAGCATAAAAAAAAAAAATAAACTAATACATATACAAAAAGTCCAAAGAAGTCATATCCTCATCTGCATGCTTTCCAGTTTAGTGGCCCAGAAAGTACTGAAGCCAGAGGATCAGCAGATAACCTTGGCAACTAGCATTAAAATAAATAAATTAAATATCAGCAAAGGCAAGCCCTTTATTTATTTTATGACAAGTTCCTATAAAAAGGCAGTAAAATGTCTATGAAAGATTTCATATAATTAAAAGTGAAAGGAAAAAAAAAAAAAAAAAAAAAAAAAAAAAAAAAAACTTTTCCAGGTTTTGTACAGTGCCTTGAAAAAGTATTCATACCCCTTGAAATTTTCCACATTACAACCAAAAACGTAAGTATCTTTTATTAACATAATTGTTAAGTGGAAGGAAAATGATAAATGTTTCTCAAAATTATTTAAAAATAAAATATCTGAAAAGTGTGGCGTGTATTTGTATTCAGCCCCTTTTACTCTGATACCCCTAACTAAAATTTAGTGGAACCAATTGCCTTCAGAAGTCACCTAATTAGTAAATAGCATCCACCTGTGCATAATTTAACCTCAGTATAAATACAGCTGTTCTGTAAAGCCCTCAGAGGTTTGTTAGAGAACATTAGTGAACAAACAGCATCATGTAGGCCAAGGAACACACCAGGCAGGTCAGGGATAAAGTTGTGGATAAGTTTAAAGCAGGGTTAGGCTATAAAAAAAATAAAGTTTTGAACATCTCACGGAACACTGTTCAATCCATCATCTTAAAATGGAAAGGGTATGGCACAACTGCAGACCTGCCAAGACATGGCCATTTGAATCCCTACCACGGCACCACCTGCCTGGAGTTTGCATGTTCTCCCTGTGTCTGCGTGGGTTTCCTCCTGGTCCTTCGGTTTCCTCCCACACTCCAAAGACATGCTGGCAGGATAATTGACTCCTGTTTAAATTGGCCCTAGTATGTGTATGTATGAATGTGAGTTAGGGACCTTTGACTGTACGCCCCTTGAGGGTTAGGGACTGATGTGAATGTACAATGTATATGTAAAAGTGCTGTGTAAATTGACGGCGCTATATAAGTACCTGAAATAAATAAATAATAAAATCCACCTAAACGGACAGGCCGGGCAAGGAGAGCATTAATCAAAGAAGCAGCCAAGAGGCCCATGGTAACTCTGGAGGAGCTGCAGAGATCCACAGCTCAGGTGGGAGAATCTGTCCACAGGACAACTATTAGTCGTGCACTCCACAAATCTGGCCTTTATGGAAGAGTGGCAAGAAGAAAGCCATTGTTGAAAGAAAGCCATAAGAAGTGATGAACCTGGTGCCCGACCCCTGCCCTTCTCACCAACTCATGACAAAGGACCAGCCAATCTCACCGTGCTGTCACTCACGCAACAATGCCACTCTCAGTTACACCCTGCACAAAGATTTTCCAGCTCGTGGGACCACAAACTATGTGTCAGCTGCCTGAGAGCGAATGTCACTGGGTAAATTAATTACGCATTTAACCCTTCAAACTACTACCAGATAGCTTTCTGCACAATAAACTTCTAACACACTGTCACCACAGTAGCACTATTCAAGAGACAGGGATTCTTTAGTTTGCATTAAAAGCCTCAGAGATCATTTTAACACTTTTCAAAATAGGGTTTATTAATGAAAAGGTCAAGTGGTGCAATTAAAATATTTACAGAAAAAAAATGTTACAAAAGACATAAAGAGAACAAAGCAACAGAGAATAAAAGGAGTTAAGAAGGCAGAATTCTTGTCCTGGTTTATCAGAGTCCAATTGTCCGAGCAAAAACATTGCCTTGGCTCTCAAGTCCTTTAAGATGCTCCTTTGTTGATGTTAAACAAGAGCTCAATTACTAGATCCAGTCAGTCACTTTTTAGGATATCAAAGGGGTATCGCCTGAGAACAACTGACCAATCATCAGGTTTAGGGGATGGGTGCTAGAAGGTCAGCAAATTTATGATCAAGTCCCAACTGCAGTTGCATACAAATATTAACAACTTCCAATACGTGCAGGTGGTATTCTAGCAACTGGCAGATTATTATTCACAAATATAATTTGAACCCAGGGATACCAAACACAGCATACCTTTGTCACAAAGGAGGGAAGAAACTGCTTTCTCCCCTTTCCTATGTGCTCATGTATGACCTTGATTTGTTCGGTACGATATTTCCCTATTCAAATATATACCTAATACTAATGTGCCCTGTTCCTGTTGAATTCTGTAAACTGTATGTGGAATTGTTACAAGTGGAATAGAGGTTTTATGGCACACCCTGCATTCCTACAGCTCTAATGGCCTTACAGGTCATGTGTGACTACTTGACTGAGTTATTGTTTTATGATAGGGCAGAGGAAAAGTGTTTTCCATGGCTCCTGGAAACAGACATCCTGCCAAGACTAATTAGCGGTTTACAGCCCTGGACAGGTCTGCAAGCTGGGTCTATTTGTGTTTTAAGATAAGAGGTTCTTTTGAAGTTTGTTAAAACTACAAATTCCAGTTTTCAGGAGGAGGGAGGAAGAGAGGAAGATTATTGCTCATGAAAAAACAAAAATGCTTGTTGCGTACAGGTTCCATGTCCCTATTGCGCACAACCGTTACAGTCCCATTTGCAGTTTTAGAGAAGCCATGTGGGGCACACAGCAAACATGTGGAAGAAGATGCTCTGGTCAGATGAGACCAAAATTGAACATTTTGATGGGAAAATGGATGGAGCCAAATACAGGACCAATCTTAGAAGAAAACCTGTTCACCTTCCAGCAGTACAACGACCCTAAACATACAGCCAGAGCTACAATGGAGCAGTTTATATCAAAGCATATTCATGTGTTCAAATGGCCTAGTCAAAGTCCAGACCTAAATCCAATTGAGAATCTGTAGCAAGACATCAAAATTGCTGTTAACAGACGCTCTCCGTCCAATTTGACAGAGCTTGAGGTATTTTGCAAAGAAGAAGGGGCAAAAATGTCATAGATATGCAAAGCTGGTACAGACATCCCCAAAAAGACTTGCAGCTGTAATTGCCACGAAAGGTGGTTCTACAAAATATTGACTCGGGGGCTGAATACAAATGCACGCCATACTTTTCACAGATTTATAAAAATTGTGAAAACCATTTATTATTTTCCTTTCACTTCACAACCATATGCACGTTGTGTTGGTCTATCACATAAAATCCCAAGAAAATACATTTAGGTTTTTGGCTGTAACATGACAAACATGGAAAATGTCAAAGGGTATGAATACATTTTCAAGGCACTGTAGATCTGTCCAAATAATTTTTGGATATGCAATTTAAATCTTTTTTGTAATAGATCAGAGTCCTCACTTTTTAGCATGCTTGGCTATACACTGTATATTTTTAGTTTATATGTTGCTATTAGGAAAGAAAATAAAGAGGTCTTAGGAGAAAATACATTTTTCAATGAATTTTACAGAAATTATGCAAACCCAAACATTCATCCTGAAATACATCTGAAATCTGACTGCAAAGATATCATAAATTGATTTTCCCTGTAACAAAGCAAAACAATGAAGCCTAAACTGAAATTTCACTTTGTAGTACAGGAAATCCTGTTGACACCAGCGTCATAGGTGCAAATGTCATTTAGATCGTGACGTAAGTAATAGGGAGCTTTTTTTTTTTTTTATGTATCCATTCCACCCCCATTTTAGCTTTTAGAACTCTTTCTCCCATTTTTCACACAAGCTGGGCTGCATCAGGTCAACTCCCCAAGTACCACTTCAGCATTAGATTATTATTATTATAATCTATTGTCCACTTCTCAGTTCAGCAAGCAATGGATCACTATTGCAAGAATTTTCTACAATAGATAAATCGCTACAGCTCACAGGGAATCCTCATGTCCAAGATGTTCTCACTGGGGTTTTCCCCTGCAACTTCTAAAAGCATGGTGCTAATGGTAAAGAATAAAATACTGATTTTGCAACCAGAATGTAAATATATGTGAACAGCCAGCTGGCACTTAATAAGGGATTCACACCCACAATTGTGTTAAATATACGGTTTTAAATTGCTTCTCTCTACAGAGATCCCCAGCAGCAAGTGTCAATAAGTGTGATGACATTATAAGCTCCGCCTTCATACGTTATGTCCAACAGGATTTCCTCAAAAGGCCTTCTGAGGAAGTCCACTTGACACAACACATGAATGTGGTGACGTTGTCATGCTTACTGAAACTTGCTGCTGGCAATCTGCAGAGAGGAACAACTATCTTGGAACATACTGTATACAGGCTGAGTAAAGCGTTGGTTCTTCTGTTCGCTGGATGTACTATGTTTTTATCATTTTGCAGATTTCCGTTCTTGTAAGTGTTGTAGATTGTACCCCAAGCGGCCATAATAAATATGGATTTTGGTCCCTTCCATGAACAACTTTATACCAGGAGTGCTTTAAGATTAACCCCTTGCTGCAACGAGTGTTGCTACATCTGACCCTGGCTGTGGAAGCTGTTAACCCTTTATTCGTCAAGCATCCTTAGACTTTCTAGAACCTAATGGGTCTATGATTGAGCAGTTTTATTGGCACAAGGTGGAGTTGGGCAAACATTCGACCTAGGCACAGAAAATGTTTTAAGAAGATGTGTTTTTTTTTGGCACAGAAAAGTAATAAGATCATGAGAAAAAAAAAAAAATGAAAATAACTGTGTGGACTGTTATTATACATATACATGATCTGTGAATGATCTTAGTGCATTTTGGACTGCACTGTTTTTTCATGTGCAATTGGTTAGATTGCATGGCACAATGTTTTGGGATATTTTCACTTGGAACTGCAAATTGGGTTGCTATATATCATTGTCAACATTTACACTTAAATGATAGATTTTGGATAGCATTGCACTTGTTTCTTATTTTACACAACAGAGCTACAGAAATTTCTTATAGAGCACCATGATTTAACAGAGGATCCTTGCAACCAACTTCAAGGGGTCAGTCACACTATGGTTATGAACAAATGTTTTCTATGTGACCATCATTTATCAAGTGCAGAAAAATGCATCACACAAACACTGGTGTAATATGCACTGTGGGAAAAATGCAGAATGCCTGCCTATAGCTACCCATACAGTAAAACTCTGATTTTTACCATGTGGGTTGCTGTGAATCAGACCTAAATAGTGGACAAGATAAAAACTACTTCCTTACAAAAATAAAAATATAGTGCATTCCTAAAGTATTCAGACCCCCTTCACTTTTTTAAATTGTGTTATGTTGCAGCCTTATACTACAGTTGTTTAAATTAATTTTTCTTTTCTCGTTAATCTACACTCCGCACCCCATAATGCCAAAGTGAAAAAAGAATTTTAGAAATGTTTGCAAAAATATGAAAAAGGAAAAACTGAAATATCACACTGACATAAGTATTCAGACTCTGCAACGACACTTGAAATTTAGCTCAGGTCCCTCCCATTTCACTTAATCATTGCTGAGAGGTTTCTACACCTTGATTAGAGTCCATCTGTGGTAAATTAAATTGATTGGACATGATTTGGAAAGGCACACACCTCTCTATAAAAGGCCTCACAGCTGATAATGAATACTGTATCAGAGCAAAAACCATGAGGTCAAAAAAGGAAATGCCTGCAGAGCTCAGAGACAGGATTATAGCAAGGTACAGATCTGGGGAAGGCTACAAAAATGTTCTGCTGCATTGAAGGTTCCCAAGAGCACAGGGGCCTCCATAAATATTCTCAAATGGAGCACATTTGGCACAACCAGTACTTTTCCAAGAGCTGGTCACACGGCCAAAGCGAGCAATTGGAGGAAAACAGCCTTTGTAAAGAGAGGTGACCAAGAACCCAATGGTTACTCTGACTGAGCTCCAGAGATCTTGTGTGGAGATGGAACAAAGTTCCAGAACAACCTCCATCAATGCAGCCCTCCACCAATCTAGACTTTATGGCAGAGTGGCTAGACAAAGGCCTCTTCTCTGTGCAAAACACATGAAAGCCATCATGAAGTTTGCAAAAAAAACAAAACAAAAACACCTGAAGTTCAGACTGTGAGGAACAAGATTATCTGGTCTGATAAAACAAGACTGAACTGTTTGGCCTCAATTCTAAATGTTATGTCTGAAGGAAACCAGGCACCACTCATCACCTGCCCAAAACAATCCCAACAGTAAAGCATGGTGGTGGCAGCATGCATGCGGTGTTTTTCAGCAGCAGAGAATGGTCAAGCTTGAGGGAAAGCTAAATGAAGTACAGCGATATCCTCAATGAAAAACCTGTCCTACAACGCTGAGGACCGCAGACTGGTCCAAAGATTCACCTTCCAACATGACAATGATCCTAAACACACAGCCAGGCCAACACAGGAGTGCCTTAGGGACAACTCTGAATGCCCTACAGTGGCCCAGCCAGAGCCCTGACTTGAACCCTATTGAACATCTCTGAAGAGACCTGAAAATAGATGTCCACCAACGATCCCCATCCAACCTGACTGAGCTTGAGAGGATTTGCAAAGAAGAATGAGATAAAATCCCCCAATCCAGGCGTGAAAAGCTTGTCACGTCATACTCAAAAAGACTCGAGGCTGTAATTGCTGCCAAAGGCGCTTCAACAAAGAGTAAAGGGTCTGAATACTTCCGTATATTGAATTTTTATTAAAAAATAAATAAATCTGAAAAAATTCCGACACGGTTTTCACTTTGTCATTATGGGGTACTGAGTGTAGATTGAGAAAAAAAATGAATTTAAACAAGTGTAGTATCAGGCTGCAACATAACAAAAAATTTTAAAACGTGAACGGAGTCCGAATGCACTGTACCATGTACTGTACCAGATCCAACAAACATTTAAGCTACTCTCTGCCACTTCTATACATAATGGCTGGGTGACAAGTAATGATCCTGCATCTTAAAAGAGCCAGACATCAACAGCCCGCTATCCAAGCAATGCTGAAAAATAGGCAATTCATAAATTATAATTTATAAGATCTCTTTTCAAGGGAAACAAAAAAAAATGCACAGCGTCAACCCATGTTCATAAAGATTACTTTAAGTTTAATTAAAAATACATACTGTATTAGTAATGTCATATACTACAATAGCTGCTTGTGCTCCTCTGTAGTACATGGGGGCCAGACTGTGGTACCTCTCCTGCCCAGCGGTGTCCCAGATCTCAAACTTCACCGTTGTGTCGTCCAAACATACTGTCTGTGTTAGGAATGCAGCTGAGGACAGAGCACACAATGAAAAGGAATTAAAACAAGGACATTAAAGTTCCACTTTAACAGTACAATGTGAATTTATGTATAAAAGAATGTAAAAAAACACTTTTTGCTATAAAACATATCTAATAAAAAAGGGTTTAAAAAACCAAAAAAATTGTGTCATAAAATTTAGGCCAAAATGTATTCTGCAACGTCTTTGCTAAAAAAAAAAATCCCAATATATGTAAATAAATGATTTTACGTGAAAGTTATAGTGTCTACAAATGGCGATGTATATACTGGAATTTTTTTAAAATATTCTAATAAAGGCGACGATCAGTGACTTATAGCAGGACTGCGGCGGACGTTCTGACACTGGGGGGGGGAGGACTGACTACGAATGACATCCCAATGCACTAATACAGTGATCAGTGCTAATAAAAATATGTAAAGTGGCATCAGAATCCGCTCGTTCATACAAACACAAGCTGCCAGCACTATATTCTGCTACAGAGAATACAAAGCGTACATATGAGTACAGCGCTAAAAATGTGAATACTATATAATAACTTAATTGTGATATAATAATAATAATAAAAAAAAAAAAACCCACAAACACTGTGAAGGGAATAAATAAGTCCCAGTGCAAAAGGACACTGTGAAAAGGCCTTAAATACAATCATGTGTCTTCAATCACTAGGATGATCATATATGTCCAAGTGCAGCACATATCACCCCACTCAGTGTAAAATATCCTTAAGTGCAGTCATATATATTCAATTAATATGGTGATCAGATACATCCATGGACTGCACTTAAGGATATTTGTGTTCCATGGTGTATCTAATGCCTTGGAAATTCTTTTGTACCCTTCTCCTGACTGATACCTTTTAACAATGAGATCCCTCTGATGCTTTGGAAGCTCTCTGCGGACCATGGCTTTTGCTGTAGGATGTGACTAATAAACTGTCAGGAAAGATCTACTAGAACAGCTGAACTTTATTTGGGGCTAATCAGAGGAACTTTAAATGAAGGCAGGTGTGTACCGACTCCTATTTACCGATCCTAGATTTAACATGATTTTGAAAGAGCAGGGCCCTCGATTGCTTAATTCTGAACACCCTTTGTAATGCTACATCTGAACCCAGTTATAAGAGGGTGTGCACACTTATGCAACCACATGATTTTTTTTTTTACTTCCCCATCACCTAAAAGATTTAATTTTGTTTTTAAATCAAATCATACAATTTATAGTTCACATTAAAAGGTGGAAAAAGTTCTGAAATGATTGGTCTGACTCATTTTTTTTTACATCACAGAAACCTGACACTTTAACAGGGGTGTGTAAACTTTTTATATTCACTGTACCATGGCACCTCCTGCATAGAGTTTGCATGTGTTCGCGTGGGTTTCCTCCGGGTACTCCGGTTTCCTCCCACACAAAGACATGCTGGTAGGTTAATTGGCCCCTGTCTAAATTGTCCTAGTTTCATCCCTGGCCACGCGGGATCTCCTGCATGGTAGGGGTTGGGGAAAGAACTGGCAACCTACCCTGTAAAATAATTGCTAAGAGAATTTATGGAAAAAGTTGCTTACGAGTGACAGTCCATGCAATTGCCAAGGGTCGGATACGAATGAATGGATAGAGAATATATATACACATATACAATTTATTTTATGCTGTTTTCTCTAATCTGTTTTATGCTATATATTTCCACCTCTGAGGAAGGGAATTTGTTCAAGAAATGCAGTGAGAATATAAATGGACTATGATGAATACATATTGTTACATTGTATTATACAGATAGTAAAATCTTATCTGAAGCACAGCATTGATGGATTGACAATTGTTTAAACTGTAATTAAGATTGCTTCACATTGCTTTATTTGTACCTTTAAAAGACCCATTTTTGCTACTTGGGATTAGACATTGTTTATGAGGCATGCGGTACAATAATTTAAACATCTGACATCCAATTAAAATTTCTCTGTACAAATTCATTGAGGTATTACCTTTTGCGCAAATTGCTCTGATTGATTACAGACCATTCTCCTGTATAGTGGATGGCTCAGAACAAATGGATCAATGCACGGGTCAAAATGTGGTTTCTGGTTCTGCAAGACTTAGAAATGTTATGTACAAATACAGGCCAAGGACTCTGAAAAGGAAGGCTGACAGACCGTCAGGCATACACTGCATGTTGGCAACGTGTGCTCCTTCCCACAGAGGAGAAAGGTGATGTGAGTCACTGGCTGACAGGACTGTAGATGATGTGTATGTGTCACCCTAAGTTTCCCACATACACATGGTGAGGGGCTCCAGGTTTTTTAGTTTATGTAGAGAAAACTTTGTTTTCTTAGAATCTTAAGTTCTGTTCTGGGTCCTGATGGTTTTGTAGAGCATTGGGTAGAATAAAGTCTCAATTTCTACAGGGGTTAGACAAAGATATGGAAACACAACATGATTTGCAGGTGTGAAAATGACTATATTTCATGTTGAAAGCAGAAGTGGTGTAACATTCTTTTGCTTTCGCGGTGTGATGAGACACAGCATGAACAAGTGGGAAGCCACACTTCTGTCATTCACTGCATACACTGCTAGTAATAGTCTCATGTCAGAGTTATTGATCTTCAAAGAGGGCAAATTGTTGGTGCCCACTTATCTGGTGCCTCTGTGACTGAAGTTGTCAATTTATTTGTGGTGACACGAGGAACAGTATCAAAAGGTTATGACAGCACATAGTTTCTGGGAAAATGTGGTCTTAGAAGCATAAGAGCGGTTGACACAGTCAACTGACTGAAAGACAAAAAAGGACATTGCGCAGGATTGGGACCTGGAAGAAGAAAACTGCTGCAAAAGTCAATGCGGCAATGACATAATTGCATAGAAACCAGGGCAAAAAGCTCCTCAAAAGGAGATCTCCAAAAGCATTTACAGGAACTTACATGCAAGTCTTTTATTAAAGGTTTAAATGGAGCCAAGAATTACAGTTGACTACCACTTTAACCCCAGCTTCCGTGTAATGGAGATATAGAGGAAGACATGTTTGTAGTCCACATCCGGTGAGTAGCCCACAACACTGCTTTTCCATAAATACAGTAAAATGAGGTAATGTATCCATGCCAGGACAGTAAGTGTTACTGGAAGGATCACCATAAAAAAAAAAAAAAAAAAAATCCATGATAAAAGAAAATTCAGCCACCAGATCTAAGGGCTAGTAATCTGCCATATATTACATTTTTGGTTTAGATACAGTATACACACACCGGCTAATTTGGAGAGGGAGAGGTTAAATGAAAAAAGCCTGTGTGCAACTGTACTTTTGACCTAATCAGCTGACTCAACAAGACAGAATGAAAATACCTGCTGACCCTTTCCTTTTCCAGTCAGTAAGGAGAGTTTCCTGCCTGGAAGTACAGCGTACAATAAAAGAGTGATTGAAAAATCCCTCATTCATAGACAAGCACATAAAAACAAGGTTTGTAAGTCACAATCTAAATAAAGCTACATCTAAATAAAGTTTTTTTTTTTTTTTTTTTTTTAAAGGAGTCTTCAAATAAAAAGAGCAATTTCAGGCAACAAGTGAAAGAAAACAATGCGCCATCAATACAATTCAGCAAACTCTGAGCTCCGTGTAGTGCCTTACATGCACACATGGCTTTTTCAGGGTCAGTAGAAACATGAGCTATGCAACTTCCCCTATCTCTGCTTCCTGAATCACCAATCCCATTTAAACTGTCAAGGCAGGCTTGTTTCTGATCAGTGGCTGTAAGAATCTTCTTAGCACTGACATTTTTTTTCCCCCTAAAGGCTAAGTTCACCTTCTTACAAAAAATAATAAATGCAAATTTTTTTGCAGGTAAAAAAAATGTGCATTTATTAATCTTTTGTTTCTGGAACCTCTAAAGCATTGCATCAGCAATCAGATCGCTGGTGCCATGCAGTTCTCCTGCAGACTTGTCAGTATATCGGCTTTCCCGTACAGAATGTATATACTGGCAGGAAGAATCAATGAACCACCACAGCACTTTCATTGACAACTACAAGCGACAGCCACAAAGGCCTCACTCAGCACCATTTTTTTAAAAAATTGGTTGTCACAACTGGGAGTGTGGAGGAGGTGGCGCCAGTCTGTAACATGTTACGAAAGGTTAACTTATCCTTTAACATCGGCATTTCTGTAGTCAAGAGACAGCAATACACCTACAGCAGGTTTTTCAGCATCACAAGCAGGTCCCTTATAGGATCACCAGATTACCAAAAGGGAGTAGAGTTCAGTGGTGCAGAGAAACAAAATCTGAATGGAATATATCTTGGAGGCAGATTATGCAGTTAGAGCTGATTCACACATCTGCGGTGAGGATTGCAGCTCAGGTTTTACAGCTAATTGATACAGTAGTTGTTCAGCGGTTCATGTCAGGTTTACATCAGGTTCAGGACAGGATTATCCAATTCACACATATGCAGTTTAGAAACAGTTCCCATAGAAGTCAATAACCTGTGATCTGCACCTGAGCCGGACCGCACTGCTCAGAAATCGCACATGACTTCTCAAATCGCACCGAATCTGCACGGATGCCGCACTGCCAGTGCACCGGACATATTTGAACAGGCACTATAGGAAGCAATTTTTTCACATGTCATGCAGATTAGATGCAGTTCAAACCGCATCTAATCTGCATATATGTGAACAGGCACTTAGGCTACTTTCACACTGCTCTGTTGTGGTAAAAATGCATATGCAGTTTTGCCGCATTTTGCACCTGAGGAAAAAAAAAAAAAAAGCGACAAAAAGCTTTTAATATGTTTTCAATTCATTTCAATGGGGAGGTGCGTCTCTAGTGCAGTTTTATTACCACACCAAACATACACCAAAAATGCAGCAAGCAGGACTTTGGAAAATGCAACTGACCCACAGCCGACCAGTGTTAAGAATTCCAAAGGATTTAATGGTCATGTGTATTTCTTCCTTTTGTAATGCAAAAAAAAAAAAAAAAAAACAACAAAAAAAAATAACAAACACTTGAAGAAAAATTGATCAGTGTGAAAAGTACAACTTTCAGAATTTTTTTTTTTAGTTCTGGATAGAGTGGAGAGGAATTGGAGGGCAGGTTTTTATTGCTACCTGTGTCCTTGTTAGGGAGATTCGCCCTCTCGATTTGTCATGTTTACTATTGTGATCAAAAAGTTAAAAAAGAAAAAAAAAAAAATCTAAATTTTGAGTCCTCCCCAAAACAGGAATAGAGGGGAAATATTCCAATGGGGACACATGATCTGGTGACAAACAGTGATTCCGTGGGTACATTTCTGGTTTTGGCTATGGGACAAAGTGAATGGAAATCTCCCCAATGGGACACAGATGGCAATTTTTTTTTTTACATAACCTCGGTTACTCTACCCAAAATGGAAAAAGAAAAGTTTGGCTTTTAGTTCTACGTTACTGTCAGTTCTGACTGGAGTGCAACCAAAATTTTATTTGGCATTGTTCTGACAAATTGTCCAATCAGGTTATAGCTGTGTAAGAATATCAGCAGCATTTGCTACAAACCTACTTTTTTGCATAAGGAACTTGATTATAAAACAGCAATCCATGGGTTTTGATTTTCCACAGTATATAGTCATCATTTGCCAACAGTATCAGTCCAGAAAACAAAAGCCTATTGCTTGTTCACAGAATAGACAACCCCCACCCCCCCCCCCAAAAAAAAAAAAAACCAACACACCTCTCACATAAATCAATAAGCTCGACAAAACACATAATGGTAACAGAAAGTGATGAGAACAGTGTTAATCTGCTCCTGCACCACACCTTGGCTTTAGATCAAAGGATGTGTGCTGTGCTGTGACCAGACCTTTAACCCAGCTGGGCTTTTTACGTCAGTGATGTTTAACTTACCTCCAATTGTGCTCTCTTGATACTCGTGGAATTGACCCTTGACAAAACGCAGCACAAGACTAGATTTCCCCACCGCAGACTCCCCTAGTAAGACCAATTTGAATTGGCAGATTTTGTTGCCGGCAGCCCGGCCCATTTGGTCGAGCATTTCCGCCTCGACCGGCCATTTCCTTGTAAGATCAGTGGGCTGCAACAGCAGAAGACAGCGGTGGCGTTGAAGGCACAGGAGGTGATGGAACTGTTGGCTGGCTCACAGGCGGAAAGCCTTACGGTCACAGCTATACAAATATAAGGGGAAAAAAGAAAAGTCAGATTAAAACAACAACCTCATTTAGGTTCAAGGCAGTCTTCTTAAAAATAAAATAGTATAATTGTGATCAACTTTGTAAAAAGGATCAGAATTTATAGGAATCAAATTCACCCTAGGTGTCACCAATGAGCAGAAATCATAGAAATCATCGAATCCAACCTAGGTGTCACCAATGAGCAAAAATTATAGAAAAAAATCATCGAATCCAACCTAGGTGTCACCAAGCAGGTTAGTTAATCTAAAATGTATGATGGTTCTAGGGTCTTGCTAGGGAGAGTTAAGCCATCTATTGGGCACAGGTAAATATGGCAGGAAAGTTTCCTGTAACCAGTCATGCAATAAGAAACACACAACGGCAGCATTTAAAGCGTTATCAAAAACAATAAAATGCAATATATTGAAGCTCACCGGCCCTTTTTTCAGACCTCTCTTGTATGCACTTCAACCTATTGCAAATAGCAAACTTTCTTCACCTGGAGTGGTAGCAGTCCTCTCCACTGTATCTATGGAAGCTGCCACCTATGCTGGACTATAAAACACAAATATTTTTGTTCATATGCATTGAGTGGGAGATGAACAGAATTTCTGGCCTGCCGTGAAATACTTTTCTCCAGAGTTAAATAACAGACACAGGTTAGAAATAATTCTGAGATTTATGATTTACACTACTGCCTTCAGACCACTGCAAACTGGAAAATAAAACGGTGTCCTTTAATGAACTCCAGGAAAGGATTTTTCAGTAAGTCAAAAAATGCATTTTTTTTTTTTTCAAATCAATAAGTGACACAGGATAGAAGTGATTCTGAGCAGTTTTTCAAATCAATAAGTGACACAGGATAGAAGTGATTCTGAGCAGTATGGGATGGCCAACACCAGTCCAACTGAGTGGTGGGCAATACAGCAAACAAAAACAAACCCAAAAGCAGCAACAGGCTAAAGTGGGGCAACCTGCAGCCCAAAAAAGCTGCTTGAAGAACCCTATATCCTAAGCCTGCATCATCTGAGGTCTATACAGTTGCAAGAAAAAAGTATGTGAACCCCTTGGGATTACTGTGGAGTTTTTGCATGTTCCAATTGGGCATAAAAATGTGCTCTGAACGTTTGGGAAGAACACACACGAAGTCACAACAATAGAAGAACACAGTCTGCTGAACATAATACTTTTTCCTCCCTGCACTATGAATGTTTACATGTTTATGTGCAATTAAACCATGGCAACATCTAATGTTTGTGTAGTATTATGTTCAGCAGACTGTGTTCTTCTATTGTTGTGTGACTTAGATGACGTTCAGAGCACATTTTATGCCCAATTCATGCAAAACTCCACGTAATCCCAAGGGGTTCACATACTATTTCTCTTGCAACTTCCATTTCACCCCGCCCCCCCCCTTCCCCCCCTCCCCCCCCCCCCGCCCCCTCCCCCCCCTCCCCTCCCCCTCCCCCCCTCCTCACTCGCTCCCCCACCCCACCCCCCCCCTCCATGACCTCAAACCCGATTGAAATGCTGTGTACATCCACATGCTAAAAAAAAAAAAAAAAAAAAAAAAAAAAAAAAAAAAATGGAGAATGTGTGAACAGAAGACCAAGTGGGAGACTTGCTATGTGTAAAACAGATGCCTGATGCTGAAAAGACCAAGAAGCACTTATTGATCTAGCAGAGTGCACCTTGACAAGAAGAGGCAGAACCTTCCCCTTAAGAGCAAATGAATGATGAGCTACTTAAGCCACGTAGAAATGGTGAAGAGGTAGGCCCGTACCCTACAGGGACCCTTGAAATGATGAAGAGTCCGTCACCTTGAAACAGTGTGACTGGGGCAGGACAGAGATGCAAGAACAGTGCCCTGGTTAGAGTGGAATAAAAAGGCCACCTTACAAGAAAAGAGGCCCTAGGCCTCAAGACAGCGTTGACCTTGCTTAGGAAAAGAAAGAGTTCGACAAGAGAACCAATAACTCAGAAACTTGCCTAGTAGAAATTATGGCAATAAGGAAAATCACCTTGTGGGTGAATTTATACAGAGAAATATCGCGGATATGTTTAATAGGCATTCTGAAAGAGTAACAGAACCAAGTTAAGATTCCAGAGTCGCTGGTGGACATATAGGAAAAGGTACGTGACCAACACCTTGTAAAAAAAGCTTTTACAAGAAAATGAGAGGCAAGCATTTTTTTAAAAAAAAGAATTGCTAAAACCAAGATCTGACTCTTGAACGTACTCATGGCCAAAACATTAATCCAGACAGGATTGCTTTTTTATGTTTTTCCCCCCAATCGTTTAACTCAAATGCGATTATTTGTGCTTTTTTATTAATCCAGACAGGACTGAATATCAGGAAGGAAACCTCTGGACTGACCAGTATCTAGAGGAAAGACCTGGATGCTCCAAGTGGTTAGTCTGTTCAGGCACTGACGTCTGAAGGCTCAGAATCCAATTAAAGAACCCAGTCTTTTGAACACTGTCCAAAAGGACTTCTTAGCAGGAAGTTTAATCCAAATATCCTAAAATGAGGATTCCCTGTGAACACTGCACAGAAAACATGAGGCTAGCACCTCATTAATCGGGACACAGTTTACACCATGGGGAAGAGCAATGAATTTAAAGTGTTGCTTGCCCGCAGTAAAACAAAGCAGGTAGCAATGATGTGCTGGAAACATGGGGACATGCATGTAGGTATCCCCGATAACCACATAGGCCAGAAAAATTTCCACCTGGAGGAATGCCATGACTGATCCTGTAGCTTCAATGTGAAATTTGTGAAGACAGAGTGCTTAGATCCAGATTGGTGTGTATGCTTTAAGAGCGGTGAACATGTTTTAGCAGAAACCTTAACACTGTTCTGCCTCTGAAGAAATGGCAAGGACTCCCAATGAAAGTAGCTGAGCCAAGACAGTGTTGGGGTCTGTTAGACATTGGCAAGATTGACAACATAAATTGGGGTGGAGGCAGAGAAGAAAAAAAAAAAAAAAAAAAAAAAAAAAAAACCTTTCAGCTTGTAGCCAACGAACACATCTTTGACCCGTGTGGCTGGGATGCTTTTAATTTAGGTGGCTGCAAAGACTAACATCACCACCTTTCAGAAGTAGGAGTATCCACTAAATTGTAGGGAAAACTTTAGGAGTCCATGGTCTGGGAAAACCAAAAGGAACTTTTCTTAGCATCAAATGTATGAGGTTTTCCAGTCCAAGGCTTGATATAGGGGTATATCATATGCAAACCCATCAACATAGTAGTACAGAGAAAAATGCATTAATTTCAATTGTAGGAGAACTGAACAATCAACTAGGACTGATCCAGGAGCGCTATACCAATGGTTTCCAAACTCTGTTCTCAAAAGGCTATGTTTTGGGAATATCCCTTAAGATAGAATAGCAAATTTAACACAAAGTTATTGACAAGGATTTAAAAGCACCTGTGCAAGGTGAAAGAAATACTGAAAACATGATCTGTTGTGGCGTGACTGAGGACTGTAGTTAGGAACCACTGCTCCAGCCACATTCTTGGACAAGACACTCGCATGGTCTGGCACATGGGCATAACAGCAATGACAAGCTACAGGGCAAGGCCTGCTAGGGAGAAGACACTGGAGCAAGCTTCGTCTTTAGTCCACAGAATCTTTACACAATGAAATGTTCTTAATGGGAACAGTCGATGTTTTGTTCAGGCTGGATCCACAACCGGAATAGCCCATTTGATAAGAACATCCTCCTTAATAGCGTACCACTGAGCAAAATGCTTGGAAAGAGTACATACAGTCAGGTCCATAAATATTGGGACAATCGACACAATTCTAAAATTTTTTACTCTATACACCACCACAATGGATTTGAAATGAAACAAACAAGATGTGCTTTAACTGCAGACTGTCAGCTTTAATTTGAGGGTATTTACAAATCAGGTGAACGGTGTAGGAATTACAACAGTTTGCATATGTGCCTCCCACTTGTTAAGGGACCAAAAGTAATGGGATAATTGGCTTCCTAGCTGTTCCATGGCCAGGTGTGTGTTATTCCCTCATTATCCCAATTACAATGAGCAGATAAAAAGGTGCAGAGTGCATTTCAAGTGTGCTATTTGCATTTGGAATCTGTTGCTGTCAACTCTCATGAGATCCAAAGAGCTGTCACTATCAGTGAAGCAAGCCATCATTAGGCTGAAAAACAAAACAAACCCATCAGAGAGATAGCAAAAACATGGCCAAAACAACTGTTTGGAACTTTCTTAAAAAGAAGGAACGCACCGGTGAGCTCAGCAACACCAAAAGACCCAGAAGACCACGGAAAACAACTGTGGTGGATGACTGAATTCTTTCCCTGGTGAAGAAAATACCCTTCACAACAGTTGGCCAGATCAAGAACACTCTCCAGGAGGTAGGTGTATGTGTGTCAAAGTCAATAATCAAGAGAAGACTTCACCAGAGTGAATACAGAGGGTTCACCACAAGATGTAAACCATTGGTGAGCCTCAAAAACAGGAAGGCCAGATTAGAGTTTGCCAAACGACATCTAAAAAAGCCTTCACAGTTCTGGAACAACATCCTATGGACAGATGAGACCAAGATCAACTTGTACCGGAGTGATGGGAAGAGAAGAGTATGGAGAAGGAAAGGAACTGCTCATGATCCTAAGCATACCACCTCATCAGTGAAGCATGGTGGTGGTAGTGTAATGGCGTGGGCATGTATGGCTGCCAATGGAACTGGTTATCTTGCATTTATGGATGATGTGACTGACAAAAGCAGCAGGATGAATTCTGAAGTGTTTCGGGCAATATTATCTGCTCATATTCAGCCAAATGCTTCAGAACTCATTGGACGCCGCTTCACAGTGCAGATGGACAATGATTCAAAGCATACTGCAAAA